TTGCTTGAGTTGCTTGAGTTATTTCATCAAAAAATGTCTGGTTCTATGTGCTAGCTAGGAATGAGGTATAATTAGCTTCTCGGAAAGCTTTGCTATCGGATGATACATTTCTATATAAAATGATGTCAACACAAGTTTCCTGGAAGCCCAAAGGAGGGCAAAGAGCTCTACCGCCTTAAAAGCTCCCAAAGAGCTCATCCGCTAGATTCGACTCTCCTTTTGTAAGAAGATTGCTTTCTTGTGTTAATATTGATAGACCTTTGCTCAGATTTTATCCAGAACAAATCCCAAAGGCATATGGCTTAAACCTCAGCTGATTTCCCTTCGAGTAGAAGCTTTTCCATCAGACTATATCAAAATATAAACGTTCTTGGATTGCAGCTGCAGCAAATGGAAATGACAACTAATTATGAATATGTTACGACATATCATAAGGGAAGGAGAGGAAAACAGAGAGGAGTGAGGGGAGAGAAGGAGAGACTGACGGACATATTTGCATTAAAACTGACCAAACAAAGTTCAGCTGAGTTTAATTTGGCTGGCCGCCTGTTGGCACAGAACACACACTTAAACGCACACACATATACACACACGTGAACTTATGCAAACAGTTAGTACTTGGAACTTGTTAGCCAAAGTGTTGGGCAGTGGACAGAGGGCGGTGGGGGGTTGGGTGCAGGGGGAGTCGCTTGGACTGCGCTATGAAAATGACAATAATAAAATTTAATGTACACATAGACGCATATGCATGACTCCAAGTGCGTGTGTGTGCATGTGTGTGCGGGTGTATGTAAATGTCCTTTGCTAACCGTAAAAACGTTTTCGACTGTTGCAGCAGCACCTAAAAAAAACTAAAATAAAAGTTGCAACGTCATGTGGCAAGCGGCAAGGGGTAAGAACTGAAAGTCATCTAGTTTAGTAAGCGGGGATAACAGGAGCCGTTTGCGGGGTCGCAGGGCTAGCTGAAGTCGAAGTTCGTTGCTTGCAAAATGAGGCGGGCGTGTGTATGTGTGTGCCCATGTGTATCTGTGTGTGTGTGTGTGTCTGTTAGAGTGTGTGCAGCAGACCAAAACACTTCCTACCGCTTTGGCCAAGTATCATTAAAAATATAAAAGTATTTTATGCACCCACACACACACATACCCACACACGTGAACAGTTTTGCTGCACATTAAGCCAGACTGCCCTATCTATGTTTCAAAGTGTGTGTGCGTGTGTGTGTGTACTTTACCTTTTCATATATACATTTGTATATATTCTTACATACAGTTTTTTTTTTTTAGTTTGAGGACATCGTCGTTGCCATTTTCATACTCTTGCAGAGGGTCCTTTAAAATTGTTGCAAACTTTGTAACTTAAAGAAAAAAAGTCTTAGAGTTCATAAAAGTTTAAATATTCTTGATCTGTATCATTTCGGCGAAATGTTTCAATCTGTTAAATATCTATTTAAGACATGTTCCTTTAAGCATAACTCGAGGATTACGCAGCATACTTTTACAGATTATAAATATTTCGCGTGTTCACCTCTTCCCGTTTTCCCTTAATTTGCAATAGGAACTTCATACTAAAGGTAGCTTTAATATGCCCGTAGAGTAAATGTAAAATTGTAAATTCTAATTAAACATAAATCCTTGAGCTTTGACATACACACAGACTGCATTTCCCATAGAGTTTGGCGGGGAAAAAAAATCCGGCAATAGCTGAAGCCAATCTGCCGACTCAGAGTATCTCCTAGACGCGCATACCCCACTAAAAACGCCCTTACGTGTTTTTTATGTGTCGTGCTTTGTGCTTGTGCTTTTCTGGCAAGTCATTGTCATTTGGTCAACTGCAAACAGCTGCCAGTTTTCATCTAAAGCCCGTGTCTGCAGCCAGCTCCTCCGCACATCGCAGCTGCCACAATTTGTGGCAGGGCCAGTGCCAGCGCCAGTTCCAGTTCATTATCATGTTAATTTTGTTGTAATTTGCTTGCTAAATGTTGCCAAGTCTTGCCCATTTGGAACATTTTCCGGAGTCGCTTCTTTGCATATTTAACTTTATTTATGCTTTTTGCATGTTTTCATATAGAAAATTAGAATTTTTGACTTCTGTACACGTTGCTCTCTTCTCCTGGCCTTTCTTCTACTTGCCACTAATTTGGCAACTATTTTCGCATCGAAAGTTTTCTTTTGTGGCAACTTTCTGGGCTCTGCCACAGAATATGTCACGAATTATTGTCCCAATCGTTCCAAGTCAGAATTCTAGTACCTCTCGGCCTTTTGTATACTGACAATTGTGCTGCCTGCCTCCGTACCTACATTACAATTGGCCCCACCGACTGAGTCGTTGTGTGTTTGCGTTCCTCTGAGCCCTCAGCCCGAGCCTCCCATGTGTGTGCGTGTGTGTGGTTGTGTGTGTGTGTGCGCAGGGATAATGATGTGCACAGCTCTCGACTGTGTGTGTCAGTCAGTCAGTCAGTCAAAGAGTCAATATTTTGTTTGTAACGTTTATGCTAATTATGCATGTTGACATGGAAAACTGTGTCACCGTACGGCCCTAATTACACTCGAGAGATTTGCCCGGAACATTAACTAGCTTGGACCCCATACGAGTAGACATTTTGGGCCTGTCGTTGAACTCGACTCTCGGCGCCCACACAAATTAATTGGAAGTTGTGAGCTTGGGCAGGATACCAGACACAATGTTGTTAAATATGTATTTGCCATATTTAAAAGCAACAGAATCTTATCAAATCAGTGTTGGGAAGGAGTGCTCGATCAGCCTCTACCCTAGATGTTTACTTTGGGGTCTGAAGGGGTCATAGATTTTTGTGTATGGGCTAAGTTCTTCAAGGCTTCCAAATTTCAAATTGAAAGACTGTCTTCAACTGGCAATCGATATTAAATGATTTTAGGCATGCTAATAGTATCTCTTGAGAACTTTATATGTCTCCAACTTTTAATATAATTTAAGGGTCGCGCTGAAAATGTCAAAGTTTGGAAACCGATATACATTGATTTAATAGGAATTGAAATAGTCTCCTAAAGGTTGAAAGCAACTTGATTTGATTTCTATAAGCAAAGCAAATTCTCAAGTTTATTGAAATGGGGTTTGTTACACATCATTGAAGGAGTACAAAATACCCTCTCTGCCCATTTGTATAGGGTAAACAAATTAAATTCAATTATAGCAAAACGATCTGATGAGCAGCGAGCTTCCTGTAAGTTGACAGGCAGTTGTTGGGCGATTGTTGAAACTCTTGAGTAGACTCTGTAAATAATTTACACACTCGATTTAATGAGCACTGGATTGTCTGTGGACACTCGGTCTCCTATTTATGCGCTCAATTTGAAGCTAAGCCATTCGAACTTAACTAACCAAACAACAAATTGGTTTGCGCTCGAAACGAATCAATGAAAATCGATGCAGACGCAGCCGCAGCCGTCGGCTCCCTGTTGCGGGCCTTCGCCTGGGGGCGACCTGCCCGGAGAAGGAATACAAAATAATTGACAGCACCAGCTGCAGCAGCAGTTGGGCGTTCAACTGAGTGACAAACCAACAGACAGACGCAGTCAAAATCCAGGCGAGAAATTGGGCCAGGGGATATGTGGGAAACTGTCTGCTGCTGCTGCACTCCAGGAACATCGGCAGCTGCGGCGTCCTCTCTAAATTGGAAATGTCATTGAGGCGTTTAACTTGCGCAGCGTCAACGACATGGACAGCAATGGAAGCCTCGCTAGCTACCTACCTGGCTGGCTGGTAATATCATTTAAAACGCCCTGACCCCGGCCAAGGCATACGAATCCATATCCGATTCACAGTTCAAATGCAAGTCTTCTGGCCATGCCCAGCAAATGACAGCCAATTGTTGCAGGCAGCCACTTAGCAGACGAGTCCCGCTCCTCAAATCGCTCACCTGTATCCAGCAATGGGCGAAGGGTCGTTAAGCTGGCCTGTATACCCTCTACTGAGCTGAAAGCAGATGTGCCAGGCTGCTGTTTATCGCTTTTTGGCAATTTTGGAATTTATTTATGTTAAATACATATTTGCATGTCGTCTTTAAAAACGGAAAAGGCAGGCATGCCTCTGCTTCAGCGACTATTAAAGCTTAAAGCGCCACAATTGGAATAGAATTTTTTGTATAAATACATAAATATATTTATATTTTACTCTTGAGCTACCCTCAGGCATTCTTCCACAACTTGAGGGGCACAGGCATCATTTTTAATATATATGCAACATTTGATTGCCATCCTTAAGCCCGGAAAGTCGTGCAATTAACACAAATGTTGGGAAATATAAATTTTCATAATATGAAGCAAAGGAGCGAAGCACCTCGCAAATGGGAAACTTGTTACAGGGCAACTGCAAGTCGTGCTCGCATCTGTTTGGATGTTTTATCGGTCGGTTAATTGGAATACTTGAGGGAATTGCAGGAATATTTACAAATGATCTAAGGAGCTAGTGCAATTCAATATGGAAGAATTTCAGGACTCAAATTCACAGTTGATCTTAGGAACATAAACAATTAAATATTTCACTTCTGGAAACCCTTCATCCCCCAAATTTGCCATAACTCGGCTCTCTGGTACACACACACAAATGAATGCGATCTTAAGGACATCAAAATATCCTTAATACTGGACAATTAATAGGCGGATCATTTAAGAATATAAATTCTCATTATGTGGATATTCTTGCACAGGATAAAACACAAAGCTGGTTCCAGGGTAACACACAGTCGTGCGTGCTCTCGTTACTTACCTTTTTTGATTGGTTGGCTAAAAGAAGCAGGGGAAAGGCAGCACGAAACCTTGACAAAAGCAATTTAAGGACAGCCCGCACACACACCCACACACACACACAAACATGCGCACACACATTCAACCTGGTCAAGTGAAGCTGTCAATGCGCCGCCTTTTATTTGCTTTGCTCACTTGCAACAAATATATATATATATCAGATATTTGTTATACTCATATGCTTTTCCGCTCTTCTTTTTATCTTCCGGCCAACAACAGACAACAAATTTATTTGCGACTGTCGTCTGCAATGGATCTTTGAATTGAAAAACCGGACACGTCATCTGCAGCTGCGTGACTCGTTGGAGGATATCATTTGTACGCTCCAGGACCCGAAGCTGATGCATTTCGTTGACCCGGTACCGTCGCACATCCTGGACGTGCTCAACATTGGCGGCTTCACGGCCATCGGCAGCAACAGCGCAAGCATGGGCGGCATCGGCAATAGCCTCGGCAGCAGCGTGAGCAGCAACTATGCTAACCTGGAGGACCTGAGCAGCGGCGGCACTGGACTGGCCATGAAGAAGCACCCCTCGGGCAAGTCGCGCCAGGCGCTGCGCGGCCAGCGTCAGTTCACGGATGTCCTCGCCGAGAATGTGGTCGAGTCGAAGCTCCGTGTGCGTCGCCAGCAGCCAGAACGTGTGGGCGTGGCAGCTGTTGCGCAGACCCAAAAACGTTACGACTATTACGACGAGGCCAGTGGCGGGCATGTATCCGGCCTGGGCCTGGGACACGGCGGCTTGGACATGGACGACAACCTGAATCTGCAGAAGCAGAGCACCTTCTATGGTGGCGCTGGGATTGGCAGCAGCAGCAGCAGTGGCCATGCCCTGGCCCACAATGATGTGGAGCAGCCATTGACTGGCGATGCAATCGAAACTATGGTCAGTAAGAACTCCATCCATGTGCGCCTGTTTTTGCTGAAGCCCGACATGCTGCCCTGCCACGATGAGCTTAGCGATCCGACCGAACTGCCGTTGTCCCGTGATCTAATGGATGTGCGCAGCAATGCGGGCCAGGATCTGCTCATGAATGGAGGTGCCGCCTATCAGCTCAGGCTCAGCTACCTGCTGTTTGGCTTCGCTGCTGTCGTCATCCTTTTGCTCAGCCAGGGTTGAGCTAATGAGTTTTCAACCAATGAGTTTTAATTGTACATACTCGTGAGCAGTCATTTGGTCTAAACTATCTAAACTAAAGTGGGAAGCGGCCATATGACACTTTCTTCATATGGAGTCGGTAGAACTTTTCGAAACGAGCTTCAAGAAAACAGAAAAACAAAAAGAAAAACAAACATAATACCCCTAAACTAAAGTCTTGTAAATATGTAAAAATGGAAATTCGATATTCGATATTAATTCCAACCTAGCTGTTAGCTGTAGCATTAGTCTCCACTTTGACAAACTTGAAGCAGCAGAAAAAAAAATCCGACAAAGACAGGAGAATTCAAAAACCAAAAACCGAAACCGAAAAACCAATCAAATTGATGTCCACTCAAAAATTTGTGTTTTCCAAAATTAAAAAAAAATTGCCAATTAATTAAAATGTTGTCCTAATATCAGAAAATATTTTTGCTTTGAAAAGAAATTTCTTATTTATACTAAATAGAAGAAATTTATCTTAAATCAAAATATTTTCTGATATTCATTAATTTTTTTTGATATGGTAATTTTTTCAAACATTTTTTGAGTGTACGCGAACAGCAGAACCTCCGAGCAAACTGGCGTTTCATTAAAACTCAAAACTCAAACTGAAACCGAAACCAAAACCGAAAACCAATAGTAAAATACAAATACAAATACGCTGTACTACATAGCTATAGTTTTGACTAGCCATAGAGCTTGCAATTATATTTGAGATTCGTTTAATTGAGCAAGGTACACACTACAGTAAAAACTTGGAAAGCGCTAAACGTCTTAGGTACAGAGTCAAAAGCTAGGCCCCAATACTAGATACAAGCTGGGGTTCAGCTAAAAGTAAGGTCCATCAGAGGCACGCCTGTAAAATAAATGCAGAAACTCACACACATAGACAGCTAAACGTTCGATTGATAGACGGTAGATACACACTCTATAACTAAAAGAAGAACAAAAAAGGAAATATAAATTAAAGTTTAATAGATTAGAGTATATGCTTAGTCGTCAGCCTGGTGCCGCTTCTGGAACCGGGCGCTCTCCTAGCAGTTAAGATTGCTTTTTAGACATAAGCCACATACTCTCCTCTTCGACCAGCTACTTGAGAAAAGTCATCTACAGCCTGCAACTATTGCCACTGCAACTGTCGCCAAATATTTCCTCTTCAAGACCTCAGAGAAATTCTCATGCGAATCGCTTAACTCTTACTTTTACTTTCGCCGCACACAACCAAAGAAAATAACTGAATATAAATTATTCAAATAAAATCGCGAATTTAATACTCTCATTTGAATAGATTCAAATTTTAGCAGATGGAAAAATAATATGAAAAAACAGAAAGCAGAAATATGCATAACGATTTTTGTAGCTTAAGACTGAATAAATAAAGGTAAATTATGCTTATACGCCATATAAACACATACATACACACATACAGATATGTATGTATATGTTCGTGTATGTGCATGTGTATATGTATATGTATTGTATTGTATTGTACGTTTAATTGTATTGTAATAAACGCAAGCTGGGGGAAAGGGTAATGCAATTTATATAGAGCACGCGATTCGAGCATCGAGAAAATGAAATCCAAAATTCATGCATACATGCACACACTCATAAATACATAGAGAGTTAATATACATAAGTGCATATTTGCAATTTATTTAAGCTCGTCGATAAATTTATTGCCAATTTAATTATGCACAAAATAAGTATATAATTTGCATTTGCAAAAACCGAAACGCTGAATCTTTACCACGTTTGATTAATGTCTGTATTTTCAAGAACGAAAATAAAAGTAAATCATATGATAAATAAAATATAAAAACCAATTGAGAATTACAAGTAAGTGTAAAAACAGAAAAGTGAACTCAAATAGAGCAGAAATAAAACTCGAAAGCATTAGAAGCAAGCATAGTTTTTAGTGGACAATCAAGCAGATAAATGAAGGAATAGCGCAAAGCGAAAAGGAAATAGAGAAAAGTGACAGAGAGAAAGTGGAAAATTGGTCAATCGCCAAAAAAGTGAAAAACTTTGACAGTTTAGCGGAGAAAATTGAGCAGCACGCAAAGCAGAAAAGTAGCAAAAAACACACACTTCAGCTAAAATTAAATAAACAACAAACAAAAAATATATATAAACAGAAAAAAAAAGGATTAAAAATATAAAGAAAAATAAGTTTAAGCTAAATGTATTTAGAGTTTTCATTAGAGCTAAGCGTATCGGAAAGTTTAATAAGCATGCAAGAAAATAAACCAAATGCGCAACTTGATTAACTTTTCCAGACGCAAACACCACATTTTACTGGTGTTGTTTGCGTTCTCTAGAAGCGTTTTTTAACCAAATTTATTATGTTCTCAAAAGTCTTCTAGTGTTACATTAAACCTAAAGCTTTCATTTGGTCTAATTCGCAATTGAACTTAATGTCAAATGGCCTGTAAAGAAAACTTGATTAGTTTAGTGACTCGAATCTAATGCATTAAATGCTTTGTATTTTGTAATAAATTAAACTTAAATATTATTTGATATTTAGCATTAAGCGTTCTTAACCAAAGAGTCTTGAGTTCCTGATGCTTGCCAGTTTTGCTTTAAGTACGCTTTACTATATCTATGTTCTATCTTTCAGTTCGAATAATATTAATAATAATATGAATGGCACCGAGTAACGTAATTTTAATATTTAACAATTTAATGTAGCTTACATAATTATTTTAACTTAAATGTACACAACAAACGATACAGTGAAATATTTACCAGAAAAATGCATTGTAAAAGAAATACAAAAAAAAAGAAAAAAAGAAAAGAAAAACGCATAATTATAAAAAAATATATACTTATATAAATGTACTTGATGTAAGAAAGTTTGCTAAAACGATAAAATGTCAAGAAATTCCCCGAAAAACCCAAAATAAAACGCGGCAAATGTGGCGGTACCCGCGTGGGCGCAATGAGGGCGTGGCGCAATGGCGAAAAAAAAAAACGAAAATAGCACCGACAAAAAACAAACATTCCAACTGCAATATTTTGTTTAACATTTTACCTAGAAAAAACATCAAACAAATCCTTGCGCTCATTGTGCCCCACATTTGCGTGACAAAAACAATTTTCGAATGGAAAACGTCTAAATATATTTAATGTATAAAAAAAATATATGATAATTTGTGTTTTCACTTACAACGAGAGCGATGTGCATGCAAATTAAAATAAACAAGAATGCGAGACAAGCTGCGGCACGCCGAAACTCAAATACTCTGTAGTCTAAAGATTATTAATTATTATTATTTTTATTATTATTATTGTTTACATAATGAAAGTAGGCATAGGGTCTACATCGTCTGAATAAGAATAGATAAATGCTCTATGGCCTCGAAGATATCCTTATCCTTCTATGCGTTACATATTTTATTTAAAGTACACAATATCCTTAATAAGGGTATAATAATGGACAGCGTGTGGCAGCGTTTGGCCTGTTTTATGCACATCCGCAATTTAATCGTGCGCTCAGAAAACATTTTTTTGGCACGCGCCAAAGTATGTAACATATTTTCGCATGAAAAGGACACAAAGGCTGGCGCCTAAACGAAAATATGCGCCGCAGGACATGCACCGCAGGAGCAAAAGTAACGCGCATTTTACCCTTTTGTTGTGTGCGCAATATTTTGTTAAATTTCATTATTGATCGATTGACGGCGGTTGCGTGGCGGTGGGAGGTGGGCGATGGGCGTGTTGCAACGCTTTGCATAAGAAATTGCTGGAAGCCGTGGGCGTGGCCGTACTCCGCAGGGGGCGGGGTCATAATGCGATACACACATTACTCATACGCCTCGTGATGCGTGTGTGTGTGTGCGCCTAATGAAGTTGTATTGCACATAGAGCGCGGATAAGCTACCAATCGGCGACGCCTGTTTGCCACTTCATAAATGGATGATTGTCTGGGCTGCGGTCCGGACCAGGGTGTCGCTCTGCTGCTTGTGGGCGTGTCGCTGCTTGTCTGTGTTGTTGGTGGAAAAAAAAAAAAGTGAAAAGTCTGCAAAGTGATAAATTGGATTCAAACAGTGGAGCAGATTTATTGATTTCGATGCAAGGCACAGGCAGGATGGGAGCTCCTGGCGCCGAGCCCGTCAAATTGAATGTACGCCATAAGCGACAAAAATCAAAAACATGTATGCAAATATGCACATACAAGCGAGCACACACACACACACACAAGCGCACATGTGCAAGAAAATGGTGCTGAAAAATGGCAAAACTGGGAAAAGAGCAGCCGAATGCGTTTTTTTGCCAAACCATGTGCGACGTGTCAAATTTTTGCAACTGATTATGCCAAAGGCGTGCAGAGGGAGGAGGCGAGAGTGCACTGTGCTCGCGTATGCGTATGTGTGTGTGCTTGTGTGTAGCAGACGCGTTGCTAGACGACGATATCAAACAAAACGACAACAACAAGAACAACAAGAGTCGCAGTCGGTGCTTAGTGCCCGCGGCTCAAGCTGAAGTGCCCGCGAAACCTGGAGCCAGCCCTTTTGAATTCTGGACTATTGTAACGCGGTGGTGTGCCAGGCAACGGCCACGACGAAATCAACAGTAGCTGCGGCGCAAAAAATCAATCAAGCGTCCAAAAAACGATTGAAATAAGAAAGAAGAGTTGCCCTGTTGCTGCAGAAGATAAGATACACTTACAAAAAATTAGGCAGATTTTCATTCAAGTTAAATGCTTGGCTACAAGACGTGCCATACATTTAATTTTTTAAGCATTTTTGCCCTTGGGAGTTCTTTAAGGAGCAGGTGGCCAACGGCTCGTATGAGTAATAAAAATCATTGGGAATACAATTCATTGCATACTTTTTGGGGCATTCCGTTTTCTATAAGAAACCGAAAAGCATTAAGCTTTAAAAATATAATATAGGGTTTAATTGACACGTATGTTCGAATTTACTTTGTTATTATGATGTTATTTGTTATTTTTAAGGTTTCGGTGTTTTTGATGTTATTTATTTGAAATCTATAAAAGATTCAATAAACAAACTATATATTTGAAGAACCTCCAGAACGAGCGAGAGCGAGAGCTGTTCTAGTATGAATTTTATCCAATAAGGATTACTATATATATTCGTTCTATAAAAATACCTCCTAGTCCAGCCCATTGCTTAGTCTGCTTATTCTATAAAAGCAGCTAGTTTTTCGCTAAGTGTAACGACAGCGAATTGCAAGCCCAACGTCCATGTTACATGTGGCTTATGGCGACGAGGTTTTCAGCCTGTACATTTGATTGACATCTGTCTGGGCGGCGACTAGGCAACCTGTTCTGCGACCTGCGTGGCTTTGTAACCTGATTGTTATTATAATTCCATATATGTGTGTGTGTATGCTGCTCGTGTGGGAACCATGTGCATTGGCTGTGCTCGCAAATTGCGAATTGCAAATTGCATTCCACGGCAGTTGAAAGCAACCTGCTAGCTAATCAAATACAACAGACTCTCGTATCGATAGCAAGCGGCCCCATATGGCTATTTTCCACTAGCATGTTGTTGCCTTTGTCAAAAGGGAGAAGTGGCAGGGAGGCGAGACGGGTGCATTAATAAAGTTAACATGGCAAACAACTTAGCAATGATGTGAACTTTATGCTAAATGTCCTTTGATGCAGCGACAAATATCAAACGCGGCACGTTCCAGTGGATACGTCCAGCTAAAAGCTTTTTGCCAAAACACACAAGAACAACAACTGCAACAGTAACTAAACCTGCAGCTGCAGCTGCAACTGGAGGTGAAGCGTATCGAAAAAATGAAGATAACACGTTTCACTATGCCAAAGACTAAACACACTTACTGGTGTAAAGTAGATATGTGATATAGTCTATAATTTGCCGAAGAACTGGGTTAGCCATGTGCTACCGAAGACTTAATACTCTTTAGGCATTCAAATATTTATTTTTCTATACTTTGCAAGAGAACTGGACTTTAATAGAAATCTTTTTCTGGGAGATTGAATCAGTATGGTTTAAAGTTATAGCATTTCGATTTACGTATGATTTATCTCATTTGCTGAAAGCACAGTTCTGCTCATTTTTACCAATTTTATCAATTTTAACATCTGAAATGCCTTCCTCTGAGATAGATAACACACTTGATGTTCAACTTTAAGTACCCAATCGAAGCGTATTAAAGACAACTGCAAATGTTAAGTGAAAATTCCGTTTATAGCTGCGTCACGTTCACTATTCAATTATACAAATTCTCGGACATACGTCCAAATCGGTTAAGAGGTTGCCCAGTTCCCGTTTTTTGGGGCAATTGCAATAGTTTGTTAATGGACTTGCCAAATACCCAATTACGTATACTTTTGATATAACCCTGCAAAGTCTGCGTCGTGTGTTTAATATATTGTCAACTTTTGTTTTTTATTGGCAGATTTTTAAATTTTCCAGAGTTTTTCAAAAACTTTTCTTGCTGCACACCAAAACTTTACCTGTCAATTTTTTGCACACTTTTTTAAGCCCCTAACCATCATATAGTTGCAGTTGTTTTTGATGCTGTTGCTGCAGCTTCAAACTTTACTCATTGGGATTATTTTATAGCTGCAACTATAACCCGATTTGTTTGAATGCACATCAAAATGCTGCGGTAGGTCCGAACAGCTCGGCTTTGTTTTGTTTAAATTAAAACCGCAAAGTGTTTGGCAAAAACTGAGTTGGGCCTCTGCCAATAGGGAAAAACGTTTAGAAATGTCTCAAAAATGCAAAATCAACAAAATACAATATGACCACAATTCCGAAATGTGGCCAAGCAGCCAGACAGTCAAGCTCAGCCCACAGAGGCCGACGCAACAAAACAACAAAAGGAGCCAAGGGATCATGGCCCCAAAAGGTTGTCACATAAATAGCTAACAATGTAAACAAACTACTTAGCCACTTTTCGGCCCATATTTATACCCTGTGCCCGAAGCGATTGGTAAAAAATACAAACAGAAGGGGATATAATACACTGTGAGAAATTATATAGATTGCCTTATGATTGCCAGAAGTCTGCTTAACTGATTTGAATGAATGAAGGCATTTACTTAGCCAATTGTTAGTCCATATTTATATTCTATGCCCAAACGATTGGTAAAAAGAATACAAAAACGAACAAATGGGTGCCCAGGAACCTTTGTAACCTTTGCAAAAACTCGGCCTCATCTAAACTGATTAATCGATCGATTTTGTATTCAATCGATTGTGGCTGTAATCACTATATAATTATATTATATTATAAGTCGATATTCCAAAGTTTCCAAAAGATTTCTAAATGAACCAGAATTTGATGAAAAATTATGTCATACATGGGAAAAATATTGGATTATAATGTTTTAAAGTCTATCGGAAATTTCCCTGATGGCATTTTGCTCATGATATTTTCCAAATATTTCATTGGTATATTATTATTTAATTATTGATTATTTGTTCTTTTAATTTTTGTGTGTAAGCTACATTTCAAATTTTCTTAACATACCTTTTTGCTTACCAGCTACTGGGGCTGTTTTGAAGGATATTTAATTATTTGTGATTTTGTTTGATTTGATGGCTCGCAATCAGCAGAGTGGCGCCTCCTGCAAGTCGGCCATATTAATAACCTTTTTCACAGTTGCCAGGGCAGCAAATCGAAACTGGCATCTTAATTAGGTACCAACTGACAGAAACAGGCTGTCCTGCGCATTGTGTGCAAATAGGCGACTGCCACTGCTAATATGTCTAATGAAGTCCTGGGCTGATTGATGGCCAAGCATTTCGGGCCGACACGACCAACGAATGGCAACTCGATAGCCGCAAGACGCCATACGATTAATAGATGTGACTCAATATGTCAGGCCGGGCCTGCATGAAGGCGCCAATTCTCAAAAAGTAGCAACTGGGCCAGGCCCAAGGCGCTGCCACAGCTCCACGGTCCTGACACAGTTTAATGGCCCCCCAACTTGATGGCCTGTCCATTGGCCAAGTTTATTACTTTAAAATCGCAAAATGCGCCATAACATTAACATGAGCTGCCGATGCGTGGGGTCGGGGGCTACTGCGAGGTTGCCAGCTCATAAAATGGCTTTTAAAGGTCATAAATATAAATTGAAATTGCGTT